CTAATTTCGTTTCTCCAGTCATTCATTCGTACCCTGTTCTGTGTTGATAATTTGTTAAGAAACTCCTTTCCCTTCCTCTACCCCCTGAACTAGATAAAAAGGGTTATCTGAGGTATATAGTTTGGAAAGTAATCGTGGGATTTTAAGGTAGAAAGATTTCATATCGCTTACCTCAACAAAAATTTCTTTCTGCGATTCAGCCCAATTTACGTATTCGATGGCGCAGAGAAGTGTAGACTTTTCGATTTCGTCTGCTGGCTGTGTGGCCTGCCTGCCTTGAAGCAGCTCCTCAGTGACGTGGTTAAAGATATGGAGCGCTGCTGCAACACGGAGGATGATGTCGATCTTTTTCGTCTTGGGCGGACTTGTGCCTTCCAAGATGGCTTCATTTACCTCGGCTATAAATTGTTCGTTTATGGTGTTCACAGTTTCTGTGGCCTCTTGGTCTAGAGTGTAAGTGGAACGTGAAAGATGCAGGCGAGCAATCTCCACGAATATGTCTTCGACGCTGGAAAGGCCGCTCTCTTTTAAGGCTTCGATTGCCTGGCTTGTTTGCGTTGGCGTCGGTCGCAAGCACTTTGGGAATGTAATTAAAAACCGGTCTAAAAGACCGTGTCCTTGATCTAATAGGGCGACTAGACGGGCGGCAAATGGAATCTGTGTTGCCCCTAAGATGCAGAAAGGCGTGTTTGCTGCTATTTCCCGCGTTTTTTCAGTGGCATACCGGTAGGAGGCCTCTTCTCCAGAGAACAGTTGACATAGCGCTTGTACATCGCCAGTGGCATTTTCTTCGTCAGACTTTAGCAATTTGAACAGGACGTCGTAAATCTCTGCTGACAAAAGGAACCCTCTGTTGTTGTCTGCGACTGTTTTTATCAGTCCCGACGAGGTACATTTCTGGATTACAGGGCTTGCAGAATCTGCTTCTGCCGTTACACTGGCCATGGGTGATATAGCGCATTCCTTGATTGCTTGTGATTTTCCAGTTGTTGGAGGGCCAACGAAGATTGAATAGATGTTGAGTGGCATTTCTTGTGTTGCAGTTTTCAGTGTAGTTGCAGTTCCAGCCATGAACGCAGTGGTAGTAATCAGAGTGGAAGAAACATAGCCAGGATTTGTGCTAATAGAGTGCGACTTGTTGAGAATAAAGCTCCAGACTTCGACAGGGAAAAGCGTTTCAAATGGATCAGGAAGTGCGATTAGGCGTTTTTGAAGTTGGGCCCAAGTACTGTTTGGTTGTTTTCGAAGCTTCGTAAGGCGCGGGGTAGACATTCTGGAACGATGCGTTTGTCTCAAATGATGCGCTCTACATTGAGTTTAGCGATTTTGCAGCTAAAGGAATCCCCAAAGGGACTATTAAGTTATTGTAAGGAGATTAAACAAAGGGTGTGAAGTAATCGGTGAACGCTTCAGTTGGAGTTACTACTGTTTGATTAGTTTGTAGTTGTTTTGATAAATTTCATTAATCTGCCGCCTGCGTCGGAATGGTGATTAAAAAAAAAAAACCAACAAAGGCGTTCTTAAAAGCAAAATATATAGTTATGCTGTTCTGTGGGAATAGTTTTTTTATAATAATGTAAGATGTTAATTGTTGAATTGCGGAAGCCGCGTTGTGTAAAACTTAGAGAGATTTGAAGGTATTGTTTGTAGTTTGGTGTAATACGCGCCAGGAACAAAGACTGTGAACACTTCAAAGGAGGTGGGAAAATTAAAGAAATTAGCGTTTATATAGTTTCTTTGTTTGAGTGAGGGCTAATACATGCTGGTCAATGTTAAGATAATTAGTTGTTTGCTCTGCAGTCGTTTATGCTGTTCTGGAAAATGTATACTGTTGTACGTCGTAAGACATGTGGAGTGCAAACTGGGTGTTCGAAAGCTGATTTAAAACATCAAAGCACTCAGTGTGGCAGCACTCAAGCAAGCTATCAAAGAAATGAGAAGCAAGAGAACTTCACATCATATGAAAATTTGCTAAGAGATTACCTGTGGGACAGAGAGTTCACGCTGTCATGGCTAAGAGAAGAAGGGCTGATTGCGTCGAGTAGAAATTGCACTATGTGTGGATCGGAAATGAATTGGGTTCGGCGGGGAGACCGATCGGATGGCTACATCTGGGAATGTAGAAGGCAGATTAATGGTAAGCGGCATAGATGTGAGAGGAGCATCAGAGAAGGAAGTTGGTTTGAAAATTCGAACATGACAGTTGAAGAGGTGTTGAAATTTACGTACTGGTGGTGCCAGGACTTAAACCAGTGGCAAATGAAACAACAGCTTGGACTTGGCTCGCACACAGCGGTTGACTGGGACATGTTTTGTCGTGAAGTATGTGAGGTGGCATTGTTCGATGGAAGGGAGAAAATTGGCGGTCCAGGGAAACTGGTTCAGATTGATGAAAGCAAAATTGGAAAGAGAAAGTACCATCGTGGACATGTAGTGGAGGGTCAGTGGGTTTTTGGCGGCATCGAGGAAGATTCACGAAAATGTTTTATTGCGACCGTAGAAGACAGGACGGAGGAAACTTTGCTAAATCTAATCAAAGAATGGATTGAACCAGGAACAACAATTGTGTCCGATTGCTGGAAGGGGTACGTAAATCTTTCAAAACATGGGTACATCCATAAGACAGTAAACCACTCCGTGGAGTTCGTTAACGAGGAGGGTTTCCATACAAACAAGATAGAGGGGCATTGGCGGCAAATGAAAACGAAGCTTCCGACGCACGGTCGTAAAAAAGAACACTACTCATCATACCTAGCTGAGTTCAAATGGCGATATATCCACAGTGGAGAAGATTTGTGGGAAGTGTTTTTAAATGACATTAAGAAAATTTACAAATTTGAATAATCAGAAGAATGCACTTCCTGAAAATATGTCAGAATCTTATCGAATCGGTTCAAGCAGTGTAAGAGCAAATATGAACACGTTTAACTTTGAGTTGTGTTAATTGAAAGTATTGTACATTATATGACACAGTTTTGCTGTATGATGCCCTGTGTTGCAAGAACTGTTTATCTGCAGAAAGAGTTTGAAATTTAAATAAAGGAGTTTTGGTTCATGTTAAGTAAAGTTTTTTGGTTGAATTGAAAATATCATGCAGTTATTGGTTGCTTAGGCGGCCAAATAATGTGATCTTTTGATCGAGGGCATTGTGTGTGATAAGTTGCATCTTGCAGCCATGAGCCGAAACCAGGGCACTTGTTTCGGGTCATGGTTTAAAGAACGAGATATATTCGTGTTTAGCGCACTTGTTTCGGGTCATGGATTAAAGAACGAGATATATTCATGTAGTGCCCAGGTCGCCAAGCCGTCGCCAGGCCACTAAGCTGCGTAGCTGTGTAGCTCCGTAGCCACGTAGCCACGTAGCCACTTAGCATCCTAGCGGTGTAGCTCCGTAGCCGCGTAGCCACGGATTCTAGATGTGTTTTGGAGTGGCAGGGTATTCTGCAGTTAAGCCAAAAATAATCACCTTCTCCAGTTTCACTGAACACTCAAGTCCTTTATTTAAAGACTTTAATGCTATCAAGCTTCTGTCTGATATCATTACCCTCCAACTTGCGGTATTTGTAAATAATTTCCATGACCGACTTTTATCTTCAGCTTTTGACACCTTTTTTAATCCTGTTACAAGGAACATACATAGATAGTGTTTATAACACTAAGTTGTCCTCCAGGATGACTTATGCTATCCCATAAGCCAGAACAATTTTAAATTATGAAATTTTTAACATGAGTTTCCACGGTGCTAAAGTTTGGAACAATATAAGTGATGACATCACGCTCCTCTCTTTCAAACGTTTCAAGAAAAAGCTAAAGTCAATTCTTATTGATATTACTGGCCTACTTAGCTTTCTTTTGCTGTCTTTCTTTTTCTACTAGCTTAGTCCTTATTTTTTTGTGTGTTGTATATACCTACAGTAGGTGTGGTACCTGACCCTTTAATATCAATAACCTAAGTATAGCTGCCCTTTCTTTTTAGCCGTCAATGGTTATTATGAGAAGCCTGTACTCTCTCCATATTTTATCTTTATTTTTGGTATCATGTAATGTAATTTAATGTTGGGTACAAATAAAGTTGTTGTTGTTGTTGTTGTAATATACCTTGTACTTTATTAGGACCTACGGTCCCTTGTATGATCTTTGATTTGCTACAATACGATTTTAAGAAAGTGTCTTATTTTGAAACATCTTCAATGAATTTTTTTAATCGTGATTCATCATTCAGCTCTAATATTTATAGCCTAACATCAATTAGTTCTAATAAAATTACCAAACTGCCGAAATACTTTTATGTGGCTATTCATCACATGCCATTCCACTCAATGAAACAGTCTTTCTATCCGTCACAGAAGAAGACGAAGAAGAAGAAGAAGAAGAAGAAGAAGAAGAAGAAGAAGAAGAAGAAGAAGAAGAAGAAGAAGAAGAAGAAGAAGAAGAAGAAAGAATAGGAGGCCATAAGTCAGGATGTTCGCGGCTGCTCATTCAGTTGCTAACCCCGCTCGACAGTTTATCGTACGTGAATCCGAGTTTGGCGAGGCTTAACGAAACTCGTGTTAATTTCTAAAATATCAAAGTCACTTCTCACTCCATTTCCATTTTGGAAAAAAATGGACGTCACCTCATAAACAGCATTCAGGATCAGAGCGTTGCCAAGAGATGCGGTGATGGCGAGAAAATGTTGAGAGCTGCAAGAATTGCCATGCTCGTTGAATGGGCGTTCCATGATGTTACTTGAGTCGCGCTTTCCGAAGAAATCTCTGAAATATGCTGATATAGCAGAAATGGTGAAGACGATATTTATAGCATCACATTGCATCACTTTTTCATCATGTAGGATGCAGAGAAAAAAACCCAATGCAAAACTTTCAGCATTTATGTTTCCTTTCTGTAATACATGTACAACCCCTAGCTTGTTCTCATTTACCACTATATTTTAATTTGTACGGAGACTCATCAACATGACCGCAATTTATTTTTTTGGTAAAGTTGTGCATATGAAAACTATGTCAGTGAATAACGTGAACGCTCACTTTTAAACAAAATATCTGGGGGGAAATGTGCGACATTAGTAGCCCTCTGATTTAATCGCCTTCCTTGGTCTCAATGTTCTTGAAACTTAAAGTCACTAATCCATCTCGAGATTGTCACAATTTTTTAAAGAAAATTATCAAGTGGTTTCTAAATTACCGTAAAACCCTTAGTACCGAGAAATACAAAGGCAAGTAAAAAAATTCATTGGCGTCATTACGTTGCCATAATAACTCCAATGTCAATAAAACATGGATCATCACAAATTTTCATCCTTATTCAGTACAGATGTGGTAGTCTTTTCCCGATATCTTTGTTAGTGCGTACGTAGTAAATGCTCAAACTTGGGAGGTATACTCCTTTAAAAAATCCAGTCAAACCGCCTTAAGCAACAGCGACAACAACGGTGTGAAAAACGTCGCTAAAATATTAATTTTCTTCTCAGACCCGATCAATTGTCAGTTGCATTTGAGGACTGCATAAATAAAGGTTGAGCTTGCAGCGAACGTCAAAGAAATGTACTGAAAAGCATGATGCGCGTATGATGAGCTGTATTGCTCACAACACCAACTGCTACTTCTCTTAGTACGGGGTCCTCGTTGAGACCACTCGCCTTTTCTCCCAGCCTCTCGTCAACAGGCACGACGTTCGAATTTAGTCGAATCGGTTGATTTAATCCGGGCACCCAAACAGCATTTTTTTGTCAGACTATAATGGTGAACCAACAGAATCTAGGCAACATTAATATCTCATACATGCCCTTTATAATTATCATTTGCAGCAACATGAATAACAGATAAATATTGAATTTTCTGGACACATCAGACAATAAAAAGTTTCTTTTCTCTTTTTAAAGCCTCTAATTGCCCTTGTACGTTTTTAATATATGGGGTCAATATCATCCGCAGGAAGTCTAATTTATAAATTAGTCTCTTGTCTTCAGTCGTTATTTTTTAATACCAGCAGCAAACCTCGCGGATAGTGCTTTTCACTCTCTGTCTCACATCCTTTATCTTCCTGCAGTAAAGTACTGGGTTTAAAGAAGAATTTAAATAAGGAAGAGTTACAGATGACTCCAAAGTAACATATATTTTGGTCTAAGGAGACGGTTTATCAAAGTAACGTAACATCCATAACAAACTACAGGGGAGGTAGCAAATAAGTAAAGCTAACTGCACCCATGCTATGCTGTACACTGTCTTCTTGTATCGAGCTATGTTCAGTTGATTCCTTCCTCAGTTTGTTTG